CACCTTGTGTGCTCTTTCCAACCTTTTAGAATGTGCTTATCTGCACTTCAGACATTGGAACCTGCAATCCTGCCACCAGGAAGATGAGGAGTCAGCAGGAATGCAGGAAAGGTGGCAGCTTGGGGTTTCATGACAATAGAACCATGGTGTCGGTAGCCAAATTTCTAACATCACATTAGCATCTAACCTGGAGTACACAGTACACACATACACACACACCGTTCCAAAAAACAAACCTAATGTGTAAGCATCTCACTAAAACCTCAGGAAAGCAGGGTCTTCAACTTTCTTAGGAATTGGCTTCTAAACAACCAAAACAGTACATTAGCAACAACTTAATCAAAAAGAATTCTAAAGGCTCTCACACTGCAGGAGGCCCCCAGAACTCAGCTCAGGGCTGGCATGATGTTTCAGGAATATAATAGAGGCCCACAGGTCCAGGCCTTTTTCTGTCTTCCCCTGTGCAGCTGATTCCAATTCCAGGCTCATCACTGCCCCATGCGCTGCTGCCCCTCCAAGCTTAGATGGGCCTTTCAGGGAGGAAAAGGACACAGAAAGGGGAATCTTTGCCTCTCGCTAGCCAGGGCTATCACGTGGCTATTCCAACAGGGGATGGGGAGTGCTTAGCTCTTAGAGCTTCTCTCTAATAGGCAGGCAAGGGAAGAGGCCTCAGAAATGGAGGATGAGTCAGCACATTAACATATTAGAGATAACACACAGAAATCAGCAGTGCTGTAGCCATCACTATTTCCATAATTAAATGCCTTGTATATTATTTTTTATTTATGCTTCTATTTACTATGACTTCTATAGTTCCTCTCCCAGTATTCCTCTCAACTTAATTTTCTTTATATGTCTTCAGATGTCTTCACCTCTGTATTTAACAATAGGACAATTCAAGGACCAAAGGCTTGTGCTTGATAGAGGAATAAGCATATACAGAAGTGTAAAGCCACTGTTATCATAACAAAAAATGTTTCTCTCCACATCTTTCACTCCCTTTTGAAATCTGAGAGTCAACCTTCAACTGAAAATTGCAGAGGTCTCCGGTAACTCATGCCTCTGAGAGACAGCAGGTGGCAGTGCAGACTAAGAAGTGACAGATCAGTCAGCGATGTAACTGGATTCGGTAGAATTAAATCAACCAGTCTAATTTTTAAGTTAGTGCCTTACCCAAGTTTTTGAGCCACCAGATCGTCCTGGCTTCTACCTCATTTCCACAAATGAGTGAGGCATAATTCCCTTTGTCTGAGTCCTACTTTATGTGGTATATTCAAATTTTTCTTAGAAGGGAGGCTGCTTGCTGAAAACAGGATTGGGGTGCTGTGTAATACATCACCCAAGGCATTTTCAGTCTATTTTAGGAAATAAAGAGATCATACTGTGGCTTTGTATTTGTTTCTGAAGTTCTGGATTATTGTGAAGCTCCTGAAGGCCGACGATCAGGAAGGAGAAAGATCTAAACAGAAGACCTATTTTTAAGGCCCAGGCTCTGAAGGCCAGAACTCTATTCTTTTCTTCTCTAGAAATGTCAAGCTTTAAAAAGTTAACGCAAACATATATAAGGAACAAAGTAGCATTTTTAAAATAATAGCGACATGTTAAATATAATGACATATCTCCATTTTTCTGAATCAACAGAGACTCTGATATATGAATAGAGATTCAACCAGTGTAACAGTATGAAGAGAAAGGTAACACTGGGTTCTCACTTGGTCCAAGGATGCTAATTGAGTTTAGCAAAATTAAAACTTCAGCAGATAAAACCAACATCCTGGAGCTCCGTGTTAGGAAAGCTTTTGACGCTATTTATGGAGTTGATAAGAAATATAAGTGATATTCTGCCTTAAATAAGAGATGGGGAACGGTTCTGCTTCTCACATGTTTATACATTTTCTGTCTCTATGTTATTCCTGCTTGGGTCCATCTATCCCCATTGCGTGCAAGGATTTGTTTTATATAAAGCATCACACTAATCATACAGAGGATACAAATATAGACAGGAGATGGGATGGTCTGTGCTCTCAGGAAATGATAGCAAAGTGGGGAAGATTTAAGAACTATGGAATTTGAGGTAGAATGATGTAAGTGCAATAAAGATGTAAAAATAAAGCATGAGGAGGATCAATCAAAGTAAAACACCAGTATTACTTGGGGAGGGTAAAGCCCACAGCCCAGAGAAGGTACAATTTGTTGCTACATCTTGGTGAATAACTAAGAGTCTCATAGGCAGAAAGTGCTAGAAAGAATTTCAAGCAAAATTAAGTTCCATAAACTGCAATGAGAAGAGAGCAGGTTTAGTTGAGAAATTAGGATGTGTGAGGATAGATGGGTGAAAGAGGTGTAAAATAGTGCTGAGAGTAGCTCGTGTCACATAATGAGGAACGCTGTCCTCTGGAAGAATGCACAATTAATATATCATCGTATTTTGTTCATTAAATTGTCCAGTGGTCTCTACATGCCTTTGTGTTTTTTACTACAGTACTTGCATTCAAATGTTTTGGCATCACTTGATCTTTTATATAGAATGCAAGTAAGGAGCTGTAAGATGTGTAGCAGGAGAGTACCCAGATCTCTCTGTCAATTCTTCAGTGCTTGTGGGGAGGTGCACAGTCTGCATCTGTGAAAAGACCACTGGATGAGGCAGTGGGTAGACTTCCACAACAGGGAGAGCACACACATTGGCAAATTTGTTCCTTTATTTGGTACTAAGATTGAACCCGGGGCTTTCTCACATAGCTATCTCTCTGTCTCTTTTCCATTTTTTACGGTGTTACAGAGTCTTGCTAAGTTGCTCAGGCTGGGCTTGAACTTACAATCTTCCTGCCTCAGTCTCCCAGAGTGCTAGAATTATAGGGTTATGCCACCATACCTGGCTGGCAAAATTATTCTTCATTCTTCTTTTGTTAAAGCCTTAACCACTGATCTTTGGAAGTGGGTTTTCTGCTTTGAAGAAGAGCTGATATGGGAGGGAATGTCATCCTTTGCAATGGAAGGTCATGATCCCTAAAGAAGTAACATAAATTTGGTACCAGAATTCCAGAGAAGACTTTGTGACAGATATGAAGACAGATTTGGAGAAATAAAAGGTCAGTGACTTTGAGGAGCAGAGAACTGTAACAACAATAATGAAAATGTAGGCACCGGGAAGAAGACAGTGTGGGATTTGCAGAAAAATTTGGCAATGAAATTCATAGCATGAAACCCACAGCAAAGAAGTCTTGCCAATAGTTTGAGTGCAGGTAGAGGACTGGGAAAGTAATAGGGACAGACTTATAGATTCAGAGGTGAATTTGATAGAGTCCATAATTAAAATACAGTTTGTAAGAATCAATTTGAGAAACAAAGAGGCTGATGGCACGATCTTTGGGAAAATCCTTGTGAGTCAAAAATTGGTAGAAACCAGCAACACAGAAGGAAAGACAAAGGACAAGTCAGGAGAGCACAGTGCTCACAGGCAAATGGGGAGGGGTTCTGAATGAAATGACTGATCAACTTTATGAAAGCTTCAGAAAGTGGAGGAGAACGCATCTATGGAACAAAGATATTTTGGTAGTTCAGATATCTGTCCATTTATTGTTTGGGTTAGTTTTGTTGCAGACTTTCTATAAAAGTCAATATAAACATACTTAGGTAGTAAAAAAGGCTCAATAGTGGGAAATGATTTTAAGGAGGAGAAGAAATATGGCTTCCAATGACACTGGTGAACAGGGCAAACAAAGAGGCACACAGGAGGAGTCTGTGGGAGTAATGCAGTGTGTGAAAACCTACGCAGCAATACAATCAGAAGGCCTCCAGTGATTCTCTTTATCTTTTCTTCCTAAAAAATATAGCCTATCTCAGTCTCAATTTATTAATGATTAAAAACAGCAAATCACACAGGTCTTCATACAAGAATTAAATACATTTAACATGGCAGGTATTCAAAAATATTAAATGCACTTCAAAATCTATTGTGCTAGTGTTCTATAATTTCAACATTTCAGCTGCTTTGCTTGGACATATTCATGTGCTGTTATATTTTTCAGCATCCTTTTACCCTTGTGTCTTAAAGCTTAAACTCTTCCTTTCAGCAGTGAGTCATAACAGCTACTGCTAAAAGTGTGATGACCATAAATGAATTGCTTCCATAGAGGATTTGGGGAGTGAACTGGGTGAATAGGAACAGAGGAAGGACAGCCACTGTAAAGTACAATGCAGGTGAGTGATCAGGGACTCAGAGGAAGTAAAACATGAGTAGCCATAGTTCATGGAAGTCTGAGAACTCTAAAGGTGTGGAGGAACAGCTGAAGGAGAGCTAAGGGTGAAGATGCTGGGTTTTCCATGAACGTGGCAGTATATTGAGTGCTCCCGTGCAGGAAGACACAGAAACTTGTGCCTATGGAGACAGCTAGGTAGGTAATACACAGAGTATTAACTCCTCTCTACTGAGCCCTTACTATATGGACACATCAATGCTATGCTGCACTGGGTATTGTTATTATCCTCACTGTACAGTGGAGGATGCTAAAGATGACAGACTATGCAACTCAGTTAAACTCCCAGAATAAATACAACATGGAGCCAGGATTTAATCACAAGTTTTGTGTCGTTGTTTTAATTCCAAAGTCCTAGCTCTTTTTTTTTATTTTTGGTACCAGGAATCGAACTCATGACTTCAAGCTTGCCAAGAAGTAAATTCCCAGTTCTTAACCAGTAGTTTATTCTGGAATTACAGAAACTAGGTTGATTACATAGGTGTTTGCCTACTGATGAGCCCCTATTGTGTGGGTTACTCATATTAACAAATTAACTCATCAAATCTACAAAGAGGAGAAGGTTACTTTTTAAAAGCTATTGCCTGCACAATCATGAAGGAATTTGAAAAAGATAAGTCATACTATTGAAAGTATATCCAGGACTGAGCAGTGCCAAACTTTGGTGGAATTCTAACTTTTAAAAAATTAATTCCAGAATTTCAAAGAAGGAAAAGATGACTCATAGGCATAAAGATATCCTTTCAAAGCATCTTTTTATTTGCTGTAAGAATATAATCTGCATTTCTATACAATCCATCATGCAAAAATACGGTAGTAATTTTACAAGCAGTGCAGAATCTCAACATCTGTACATTTGCTCAACTAATATAGTAGCAAATGTTGAAAAACAACATCTTAGGAAAAAGGAATCAACTTTCTTTCCCAGAAGCATGGCTTCTAACATCAAGAAGTGCAATCCAGAGAGCACAGCTAGAGTGAAGTCTGACTCTAAGGGTGGAGGTACTGACAGACAGATATGGAACACTAAGAAAGCCCCCTTATTGGGTAGCCAAATGGCTCTGTGCAGCCAGCACTACAACAGCTGTATACAAACAGGTAGGAGTCACCTGTTCAATTATCCTGATTTAGGTGACTAGACACTACTAACCTGCAGAAGGATCTCCCTGCCCAGGCACTAGACACGGAGCTAAGAATTCAAATAAAAATCACAGTGTTTTCCTGTTTGTGCAGCAATTATATTTCCCTGCAACACCATCATAAAGCATATTTTAAGTAAACTGCTTAACAGCACAATGGTCACTAAACTTGAGCTTGCTCAACTGGGACAACTGCTGTTTACTGGAAACGAACTACGGAGAATGTAAGGAGAAGACATCAAATCTTTTACAATTAAGTCCCAAATGGGGTGGCCACAAAGGGCAGCTCCTTCTCTAGAGGACTTTCTTGGAGAGTTTGTGTTGAATATAGTATGCTTTTAGCTACTTCTGTTGTATACCTACTACTTGCCAGGTTATGTCATTAGACAAAGAGTCTTCAACTAGTTATGCAATACAAGATGCAGATCAACCCTGAAAGCTATCTCTGCCCTTGGGTTTTCTTGCTATTTCTGTGATTTTAGTCCTGAAGTAAAAGCTCTGGAGACACAGAAAAATCTCAAAGTGCCACTGTAAAGTGAGGTGAGTTATAAAGCCTTTTATCCCATCAACAGGTATGTCAGCCAGTGGTATCCAAAAGGGCTTCAGATACGTGGTTTATTGGGAAGATCATTTGTAAAGGTATATCTAGACTTACAGAGAAAAATTTGGAAATAAAAAATTAAAACTAGATTCATCATTTTATACCCTTCTGCCCCAGGATCCCCAAACCATACCAACATGCCCTGTGGCGAATCTCAAAGCTGAAGTCTTTAAAACATGGGTCACATGTCTCAAATCACATTGATTTCCAGCGTCTTCTTCTGTGGTATACATAAAGAATTAGAAGAAAACTAAGACAAATGTACCTCCTGAAATCCTTGAAAATACACTAAGGCTATTGGAAGTAGCTTTGTTTGATTGGAAGTTAAAAAAAATCTTTCTTTTTTTAACCTGCGAATTACTTTGTAAAGCCTGAAGTCTGAAATATCCATGAGCATAATCCATAGTTATCTTTTCCCCTTAAGATTGTTACATTCAGAAGCATAACTTTTATTTTGAGTGCATTTACTTTGAAAGTTATATTTACTTGAATTTTAAGTGCTTTTAAATTTTAAGTATTTTCAAAATTGGAAACGATATTTTTAGAAGTAAATGTCTTAATTATGATTATTAAACTAGTCTTACTCCTGTGGTAAGTCAACTCAGAAATTTAAAAAATGCTAATGTGGGAAGTTTCATTTTTCTGAAAAGCCTGTGTCATTTTAATTTTGGTCCAACCTAGACTTAATAACCTATATGAAACAACTAGTATTTGTTTGTTGCTAGGTTCCAGATTACTGTCCAAATCCAGCAATTGATGAGTCTGTGAGAGAAAAGGGGTAGTTATCGCATACAGCCTTCATTTTGGAATCAGACACAATAGTATCAGCCCCAAAGACCTTCACAGTTCTGGGTGGGAGCCTCGCTGTGGCCATTGAGTGCCGACAGGCAGACAGGTGGGCCCTCCTTCACGCCTTCTTTTCTTCCCTTTGCTCTATTTTCTGTTCCAGTTATGAGAGATGTTCTGAATCTTCTTCATTTTGATCCTCTGATCCAGCATCTTGTACCTTGCAGGATGCTCATCAGTTTTCTTTGGAACCGAAGGTGCGTAGGAGCTAGATGCATAAGCAGGGCGCTTAAAATGACGCAAAGGAGGCTTGATAACTAGACGCCATAGAAAGAAAGACAGAGAATCATTAGCCTCACCAGTGATATGGCATGGCATGACCTGCACATTGTGGTCAACTGTTCTTGACTTGTTTTTTTCCTCTAAGCCAGAAAACAAACAGGGTTGGATCTTTACTGGGAAACTTACTGCATACAGATGAATAAACAAATAATCAACTTGGTCACTTACTAAAGAGCAGAAATCCCTACAGTTAGACACTGATGACCTCAGTGCATAAATAGTCTCTGATGACGAACAGGTGGTTTAGGAAGGCGAGAGGGCACACTGGCATCACTTTTGGGAACAACAAAGGAAAAAAGAAGAGCCATATCAGTGGCAACATTTAGCATTATAAGTAAGCTTTTAGGGCTGGAAGGTGACAGTTCTAAAGAGCTGATTAAAAGTGCATCATTGAGAAAATGTTCTCTCTCTATATATATATATACAAAGGTCTTACGTTCAAAGTATAAAAGTAATTCTTAAAACTGAACAAAAGAAACCAATTTAAAGATGGGCAAAAGATCTGACCAGACTTCTCATTAGAGAAGATACACATACCAAACAAGGACAAGGAAAGATACTGAACAGTTTTTAACACTAAGAAGTTGCAAGGTAAAATGACAGTGATATTTTACTTTACACTCCTATGCAAACATAAAATCCAAAGACAATGGCAGTTGTTAGTAACCATCTAGAGCACTGACAGCAAACCTGTTAGAGACCTAGTGCACAAATTACAATCCCAAACCCACTTATTTATCAGCAATTTAACATGAATACTGAGGTTTTGCTTCAGGAAAAACAACTGTTGTCTGATGCTCAGTTGCTGGGGTGACTTGGCTTTCCTGGAGGGGACTGCGTGTCTACTTGAGGCATGCATGCAGAAGTTCTCCACCACTGATCTAGAGCAAAAAGAACTCTAGCAAAATGATGCAGCCACTTTGGAAAATAGTTTGACAGTTTCTCAAAAAGCTAGATAGCCTTAGCATATTATGTAACAATAACCCAACTGGTTGAAAAACCTATGTACACATAAAAACCTGCACATGAATGTTGGTAAAAATCTTGCTCATAAGTACCCCAAACTGGAAACAACCAAGATGTTCTTCAGTAGATTAATGGATAAATTAATTATAGTACACCCATATGATGAAATCTTATCCCATCAGAAAAAGAAATTAAATTATCAAACCAAAGAGATGGATGGCTCCTACATACATATTTTAAATGAAAGGAATTAGTATGAAAATATATACCATATAACATATGGTATAATACATACCATAAAATTCCATTTGCATGATGCTCTTCAAAGAAGAAAACTATAAAGATGATTAAAAGAGCAGTGATTGTCAGAGGAGTGAAGAGAGGGTTGATTAGGTGAAGCACGGATGATTTGCAGGGCAGTGAAACTATTGTACATGTTATCATGATACTGGTAGATACACGACAGTGTGCAGTTGTCAAAACTCATAGAACTTTACAGCACAAGGAATGATCTCTAATGTGTGAGAACTAAAGAAAAAAACAAAGATCACGGAATTCCCAGAGTGAAATACAAAGCATGGAAAACAGATGGTTGTACTGCAAGTATATGAAACAAATTCACTGAACAGGATGGAAAGTAAGATACTCACCTGAGTAACTCTGGATATGAGCTGAATCCATAAAACCAAAGGCTAATGAAGATATATACATGTACTGTATTTTAGTTGATAAATCTCTTTCCTACATAGGTATAGGTGGACAATTCTAATACCACTCTACACATACCTGGAGTTGAACAATTATATAAATAGACAACAAACAGAAAGAAATATTGGCATGGGAATTTAAAAAAATAAAAAGAGAAGGCTAGAATGCAGTAATGGATTGGACTTGATGCTATCAATATATATCCATATGTAGCTTAATAGGGATATAGATTTTATAGATCCATGCATTTACCTGGGTTACCATACATATATTTATTTCCCTGCCTTATCAGTTAACAGGCCCTTGATCAATGAAGTAATAAAGATGTAGAAGTCTGAGTCACATCTAGTGTGTAGATCTGGACTTCTAAAGCATTCTCCAATGAAATGAAGCAGGGGTCCTGAGAGAAATTCTAGGACTAGGGAACAAAATATACAAGATATACCTGGAGTATGCTATAGAGCCCTAAAACTACAAAGTGCTGGAAAACTAGCAAACAATGAGACAAAGGAGTTCCAAGTGAAATAGCTACTGTACACATAAAAACCTGCACATGAATGTTGGTAAAAATCTTACTCACAAGTACCCCAAATTGGGGTACTTATGACATAAAATGTCAAAGTTGGAATAATTTGAGCAACAAATGAATAAAGCCACTTCAGATTATAAACTAAAATATAAAATAAATATCCGCAAGTCCCTAATGGAATAAAGAAATCATTGAATAAGTAAATAATTTTGAAAATAAACAAACCTCCAATGTAAATTTACAGAGAATTGTTGTTGATATACTACTTTCAAGCAGGAAAAGACTAAAGTCTGGGCTGGACATAGTGACATCTGTGCAGAGTGTAAGTCTAGAAACAGGACAAGAGAGTAGTTCTATAATGGATAAATCTAGTAAGTATAACTTTTGCAGATGATCAAAGTTGAGAAAATAGCAGTAAGTCCTGTTAACAGTAAGCATCCTTGAAATTGTGCAATTGAAGCCAGGATTTTGTAATGAAAAGAGAAATTTACTCTGTAGCTTTCCTCTAAAGGTTACATAACCCCATTCTAATAATGAGAAAACAGAGATGTCTGAGAAACAGAGCCAAGCAGTACCACAGGAGACTCGATGACTACATGTGCTGTCTCTTCCCAGGTGGGATCTTGGCACAGCAGGAGGACACTAGGTGACGACAGACATGTGAATAAAACATGGACTTCAGATACTGAAAACAAGTCATAGCGTACATCATCTAACCTGCAGTTCTGTAAAGAAGGAGAAGTACTGATTCATTTTTCCTCCCTCTCCCGTCTCTGCTCTTAGCTCTCATGATTCCTTTGTTCTGCTCAGAAGTGTTTGGTGAGTAAGAGTTAAAAACAAATCCAGTAAATTATCATCAAAAACAAAACACAAATAATAACTAAGATAAACTGTCAAGCAAACAAGCTGGCACTGTGCATTGCTGGAACACCAGCTCTCACTGGAAGCCACTTCACTCTCACAGAGAGCAGCAAAGGAGGATATGAAGGTGGGTTGGCTCGAAGGGTTCAAGATTGAGGACACATATGTGAAGTCACTGAGGCCACCTTTGTGAAAAACTAGCCAGCAAGTCTCGTTCGGTAATAGGAAAACACATGATGTTTATGATGAGGCAAATAATTAAATACAACTGAAATGTACAATCACAGGGAATAGATTAAATTCTGGTATATTCTTAAAATATGTTACTGTGGTATGAGTGTAAGATGATACAGATGTTTATTAACACAAATAGAGGTTCATGTAATATTCTAATACAAAACAATGCAATCTAAAGTCATGACTATAAAATATATTAATATGTGTATTGAAAAATCTGGAAGAAAAAACATTCAAATCATAACCATGGCTACTTATTTTGCTTTGGCTATTTATGCTAATTTTTCTGAGATCAGGCTTTAGTGGGGTAACTTTTTTTTATTTTATTTTAAAGAGAAAAGAACAAAAACAAAGACAAAAACAAAGCAACTCAAAACTATAAAAACGATACAGAATTTCAAACAAGATATTAGAAAATTAGCAATGGTTGTTGTATTACTTATTGTTAACTTCAAAGTAGTTGCTCAGATTACCAGATATAGGCATGCAAGATTGATCAAATAATTAAACATTAACTGTTCCTTTCAATAAACCAATAAAAATTAGTAGTAAAATTATCTTAGCTATCAGGTGTGTGTGTATATATATATAGATATATAGATATATAATTTCCCTTCTTTCTTTTCTTCTTTGTCTCATCCCACTTGTTCTTTCCTATTAAGTAGTTTCTTTCCCTTTCACAATATCTATCGTACCTTTCAATTTTATTTACTCTCTCAGGTTTTTACACTAGGGAGACAATATGGTGTTTACACATGTGGGTCTGATCTGGTTTATTTCATTTATGAGTATGGTCTGTAGTTGCATCCATTGACTGATAAAACACTCAAGCTTTTTCTTTATAGCTGAGTAATATTCCATTTTATAAAAATACCATATTTTTCTTATCCAATCCTCAGCTGATGGGCATTTGGGTTGTTTCCAAAATTTTGCTATGACAAATTGTGCTGCTATGAACATGGATGCACATGTATCGCTGAGGTATGATGCTTTTAATTCTTCTGGCATCCCCAGAAGGGTAATGGCTGGGTTAAAGAGGACCTCTAATCCTAATTTTTTGAGGAATCTCCAGACTGTTTTCCAAAGTGGTTGCACCAGTCTACGTTGCCACCAACAGTGGAGAAGGGTTCCTTTCTCCCCATAGCCCCTTCAGCATTTGTTGTTGGTTGATTTCTTGATGATAGCCATTCTTTCTGGGGTGAGATGAACTCTCTATTGTTTTAATTTGCATCTCTCGAATGACCAATGATGTTGAACATTTTTTCATGTATTTGCCATTTGTATTTCTTCATCTGAGAAGTCCATTTTTGGATTGGGTCTTTGAATTTAGGGGGTCTGAGTTTTTTCAATTCTTTATATGTTCTAGATGTAAGTCCTTTGTCTGAGAGACAGCTAAAATGTTTTCCCACTCTCTGGGTTGTCTTTTCACTCTATTGGTGATTTCTTTCAAAGTACAAAAGCTTTTTAATAGGATGAGATCCCAGTTGTTGATTCTTTGAAGTGTTTCCCGTGCAGTTTGGGTTTTGTTCATGAAGACTGTGCCTACCCCTATGTCTTCAAGATTTCAACCTACTATCTCTTCCAGTAGATTTAGTGTTTCTGCTTTAATATTTAAATCTTTGATCCACTTTGACTTTAGTTTAGTGCATGGTGATAGACATGGGCCTAGTCTTT